AAGCCACCTATTCCCAGAAGCCTTTCCAAACAGATCTCTCATTTTTCTGGCCTGCTCCTTGTCCTTTAGAAAGAAAAGGGCCTTAGAAAGCAACCTGTTTAAGTCTCCCATTTTACAGAGGGGGGATGGACTTGCCAAATCACTGGTTCCTCCCCACTCCCCACCTGTCTATACTATGTAGTCCTGCACTTTACCATCATGAACTTGAGGCTGAAGATGGTGACCTTGGCTTTTGGGGATTTGTCTGGGCTCTAATCTCCTCCAACTACCAGCACTAGGCAGAGGTCATAATACTTACTCTACAAAGTTTGCTGATTAGACTTAAACTGTTACATACACAGATGAACTTTTCTCTATTTTTGAAACATATTCCAATAAAGGTATGGCATTTTAAAGACATTGTTGACATTCAAATCATTTTCAAACAGAACCCATCTTATTTATTAAATATCTAAAACACTAAATTATTGTGTTCTACTGTAAGTTCTGTGAGAGCAAAGATGACACATCTCCCCTGGAATATAATGGATGACAGATAGAAGAGGTGACTATTCTTTAACGTCATTTCATGCTACTTAAGTTGACAACAGACATCTAGAAAAGATAAGCTCTAACATTCTTTTTTTTTCCATTTATTTTTATTTGTTGGAGGCTAATTACTTTACAATATTGTAGTGGTTTCTGTCATACATTGACCTGAATCAGCCATGGATTTACATGTATTCCCCATCTCGACTCCCCCCACCCTCCCTTTCCACCCGATCCCTCTGGGTCTTCCCAGTGCACCAGGCCCGAGCACTTGTCTCATGCATCCAACCTGGGCTGGTGATCTGTTTCACCCTAGATAATATACATGTTTCGATGCTGTTCTCTCGAAACATCCCACCCTCGCCTTCTCCCACAGAGTCCAAAAGTCTGTTCTGTACATCTGTGTCTCTTTTTCTGTTTTGCATATAGGGTTATCATTACCATCTTTCTAAATTCCATATATATGTGTTAGTATACTGTATTGGTCTTTATCTTTCTTATTGCCACGTAATAGCACTAATCTAACATTACTATTAAGAAAATCTAATTCCAAATAGATTTTGATACCACCTTGAGAACTTCAAGCTTGGCTGGGATGCCAGCAATGTATTTGCCATCCGGGCAAAGATGTTAATTTATCATGGTGAATTTCTCCCCCTCTCCTGGGAAATACCTGTGTGCAGGGCAGGAGGCAATAACAGCTCTTAGCATCCTCGGCTAATTGAAGCTACGCCTGTGAGAACCCAGTGCCCTACAGCTTGAGGGACCAGAAGGACCGCACCACTGCTTAAATTGATCCTTCACTCGCTGCCTCGCCCTATACCACATGCCAGTCTTGTTGGCCTGCTTTGCTGCATGAGGGAAGGAGTGGAGCATGGGCACCTGAGCCATGAGCAGGCTCATGCACTATGGACTTCTTACCAAGACATGGCTGTGTCAAAATAGTGCCACCTTGGGAATTCCCTGGCACTCCAGTGGTTAGGAGTTGGAGCTTTCACTGACGGAGCCTGGGTTTGATCCCTGGCTGGGGAACTAAGATCTCACAAGCCAAGTGGCCAAAAATAAATAAATAAATAAAGCTACCTTTAAACAAAAGGAAAAGAAAAGGAAGCCTTTACTACAAGTTTTGAAAAGGAGTAACCACAAAGAAGACAAAAGAGAGAGAGAAAGCTATGCTCCATAGAAATGCTATATAGTCCTTTCCTGTCAGTGATGCTCCTCCTGATGCTTAGTCACCAGGCTCCCAGTGTACTCCCACCCTGCCCAGCTTTGCAGTGATTCCTGCCTTGGCAATGAGACGCCCCTTTGCCACCCGGCCACCAGACCTTCTCCTGGAGCGCATAAAGCTTCAGGGAGGTAGAATTCTATTTCTCTCCCAATGGCTGCGGCAACCCTAGTCCAATCACTCGTTCAAACACACGTGTAAAAATGACTGGAAACGGCGATGATGTAGGTGATAATAACACCAGTGAGCATCCGTGGAGTGTTCACTTTGTGGTAATGACTCACAGGAAATACCTCACTGTGCTTTTGCAAAAACAAACAAACAAAACATTGCTCATGAAGTTGCAGTCCACAGAGCCAGGGCTGTGGAATCAGCCCAAGCTGGAGCAAGATCCCTGCTGTGTCACTAAAGAGTCCAATGACCTTGAGAAAGTCCTCCAACCCCTTTGGGCTTCTGTCTCACCTGATAAATGGGGAGACTTCTGCCCACTCTGCCTTCTTGCTGCCGACAACACAACTTTACAGAGACATAGCAAAAATAAGGGATGGCAAAGCTCATCAGGAACCAGAACCCACTCTCCACACAGACAAGGCTGGGACAGGCTCAGGTGCAAGGTCTTGCAGCTGGTTCACGGCTGGCCTGGACCTGAGGCCCAGGCGCCAGAACTCCCAGGCCAAACAGACAGAGCTGCTGTCCTACTCAGCTCAGCGGACCACAGAGCCCACCAGCAGCTGGCATGGAAGGCTGCTCCTCACAGGAACTCCCTGCAGCTGACTTTCTGTCTCCTGAGACCAGTTCCTCGGCCTCACGCATCACCACCAGCACAGCACAGATGCCTCTGTCTCTAAATTTTCAACATATACACACTCTCACTGTCACACACTTGTGCACACCTTCTCTCACACAGATTATCAGAATTCACAGAACTGGTCCTGTAAGCAGTCAACATCCTGGGAAATTCTGGAACGCTCCAGCTATGACTACTCTTTAAGATGACAATTTCTGGAGGTGGGTAGGAATTAAGGAAATAAAGTGTCCTTGGGGTAGCCATGTGTTTCTCTAGCAAAGTTTACTTCATTTTGGTGAATATCAGAAGATCCAATTAACTCTGACTCTTTAGAAAGTGATTCTTCCTTTACTAGACTAGATGGCACTGTGGTATCACCCTTTTGATGACCAAGGAAATAGTATTTCATTTCAAATAATTTTGCTTCCACTGGGGACTGTCCAGGAGGCTAAGCCCTCCCCTTGAGGAGTCCTCGTTATCCTATGGAAATTTTCTGAAGGAATCTGCCAGAGGACAGTGGCCATCAAATACATAAGATCACAACAGCAATAATGTGTGTTTACACACTATGTCACACTATCTGTCCGAAGGGATTTTAAAAGGCACATGTGCCCTATGGAACTCCAGAGAGGGCCGGGGAGTCCATAGTGGCCAAGACTTCATTTTTCCTCCTCGGCCACAGCCATGGCTGTGGAATTTGTTTTTTGCCCTCAATAGCTTTTTTTATATCACCACCTCTCACTACACCTACAGACCCCATCAGCAAGAGGAATGATTTTCAATATTGCCAAACTGTTTGTGAACATCTTAAACCCTAAAGTCTTGTGGTGACAATGGCTTACACAATTCTCACAATGGATTGAGGTGGCATCCTTCTTGGGGTCAAGGTTCTCTTAGGAGGCTGGGGACGGGGGAGGTTAGTACTGGAAGGGAAATGAGAGCTCAACAGATTCTCCCAAAATTCCAGCATTCGGAAAGGACACTGTAACCTGAGAGATGGGAAAGTGAGTAGGGGGTGAGGTTTCCTCTAAATCTCAATGATGACCAGAAACTCAGAGGGCTCCATTCCTCTGAGGCTGGAAAGAAAAACCTGCATTGGCTGTTGCATCCCAAGAGATACTAACAAAAGGTGACAGTGTCTGGAGCAGAGCAGCCCTCACCATGAGGAGAGAGTGGGGAGTCTGTCCAGGGAAGCAGCCACTGTAGCAGCAGCAACCTCCTGTGGCCAGCTCGGTGGAGAGACAGAAAGCATGGCCATGTCAGCTAAACTCACCTTATCCATTCCCGGCATCCCCTGCAGCAGCCCTCTCTGTTTCATAGAGAGCAGCAGAATGGGAGCCCTGACAGGGGCAATTGCACCCCAAAGAGTCGTTCCTACCCCCTCCCCTTATGGCACTCCCTGACCTTCAGCAGCCAGGCATTGCAGCTGGCTGGAGGAAAATGCCCTTGCTACAAAAGTGACTGGCTTTCCATAAAACAGCTCTTTCAGCATCAGCCCTAGGTTCCCAGCAAGTGGACTGGCAGCGCCCTGCTCTAGGGCTCAGGAATTTGTAAATCAGGAGAGGTTTCTCAAGACTGAGCCCCACATGGGATCCGCAGAAGCGTCCCAAGCAGCCCTTAGGCCTGCGAGGTGCCCCTTGCACTTGGAAAGCACAGGGGATGCCCCGCGTGCAGCCAGTAGCCAGGGGCACAAGCTGGGTGCCACGAGCTCTCTCTGGGGGTCCGCAAACAGCCGCGGAGGGACATTCATTCGGCCAAGGAGAGTAGAACCAGTGGTGAGAAAGGAGGAGCGAGGCGACAAAAGTAAGGAAGGAAGCGCGCGGGGGGGTGGGGTACCATACAGACAGAAAAGGTTAAAGAAAGGACGGGAAGCAAAGTGAGAAAGGGAAACGGAGAGAGAAGGAAAGAGCAAGCGGCCAGGAGCTGACAAGATCCCACGCAAGAGAAAGAGAGGCGAATAGACAAAGTGAGGGGAAAGGCTTGGGAAGAGGGGCAAGAATGCGGGATCGTCACAGTTGGCTTGGGAACCTGGGCTCAGAGAAAAGAGAGAGGCTGGAGGGGCTCAGGCATGCTACACGAAGGGCGAGGGTCTTTGGGGGCGCTCCAGTGCAGAATCGACATTCGGTACCCTGTCCTGGCAACGGCCGGGGGGCGCTCGTCCAGGGCTTCCTGGCCGCTTCCCCTATTGCGCACCCCGAGCCGCCAAGCAGGCCAACCTGTGTGCAGACAGAGGAGCCGTCCCGAGTAGGAATGGACGAGCTTCCTGTGGCCGCCACAGCGCTGTGCTCCCACGCGCCAGGGCGCCAGGCGCCTGCCCAGCCCAGCCCGGGCACCACTGCAGGGACGCCGAGGTGCTCCCTGTGTCACCCGCACCGATCAGCCGCGCCTTCCGATCCTCTTCCGATCGGTCAGCTCCCCGGCTCTGCTCCGGGCGCCCCCCTCTGCCGCGGGCGCTCGCACTCACCTGGGCGGTCTCTGCCTGGCATCGCGCTTGCCGTCCACCACGGCGGGCACGCAGCTGGTGAGCTCGGTCCAGTCGGCGTGCAGTCCGCAGCTCCAGCCCGTGGAGAACCCGGAGAAGAGCCAGGTCTCCCACTTACCCGGTCGGTGGCAAGTGCATGTCTTCTGACCCACGCAGCACTCATACGGCTGCTCCAGCTGGATGTTGCCCACCGGGTGGCGGCCGAAAGTGGTGCCTCCAGTCTTTTGGATGTGCAGGAACACGATCCGGTCATCGCCCTTGATGTCGAAGTCTACCTTGCGCAGAAGGTCGCCGTTGCTGAAAGTATAACGGGGCACGAACCTGGCAGAGCTCTCATCCTCCAAGCGGTATGGGTCCGGCAGCGGGGAGCTGAATGCCTGCAGACGGAGGAGTTGGCATTCTTTGCTGGGGCACACGTATTGGAGGACGCTCATCGCAAATAGGAAGAGCATCACCAAAGCCAGCAGCAGCTTGTTGGATTTCTCCTCCACGTTCCCCACGCTGGGGGAAACCCAAGCTCCTTATGGCAATCCCGCAACTCAGCCCGCGCCCGCCGCACGCCCGCACTGCCTCCTCCCCTGGCGCCACGGTTGCTCCCCTTTCCCCCTCCCGTAGGCACCGAGTACTCCACCGTGGCGGCGGCGGCGGCGCCCTTCCCCACTTCCTTCCTTCCCGCAGGCTCAGCGCTGTGGCTTCTGCCGCACACCACTCCTCCCCCGCCCCCCGCCCGACTCCTGACCGCTGGCCGCCTGCCCTTTCCCCGCACCGGGGCTCTCTGGAGCGGCTTCGGAGGGTTTTGTACCCATGGGACCCCGCCTGCCCCGGTTTCCCCACTCCCCGACTCCTACCACTGGTCCAAGCCTCCGCGCATCTCATTCCACTCTTGGTGGCTCCCCGGCTCCCATCCCCATTCCGCCTTGCCCACCGGACTCTCCCCGGCGCTTCTGCCCCCAGTCCCCTCGGCACATACGCCGCCACCTCCTCGCCTGCCCAGTCTCGGGCTCCTTCGCCATGCGCCTCCGAAGCCCTGCTCTTGCCCGCACCGGGTTGCTCACCTTGGGAGCCGCCTCGAGGGAGCTCAGAGCCCGGCGTTCGGAGTTCCCCTGGGGGGAGGGGGGCCGCGAGTACCCCGACTTGCTAGCTGAGACGCTGCGCTAAGGGTGCCCGCGGAAGCGGGGCAAAGGAGCCGCAGCTGAACCAAACGCGCGCCACTCCCGTCCAGAGCCCTTGAGCCCCCGAGCCCCCCCCCCCCCCCCCCCCGCCGCGGGCCAGCTGGAACTTCGCGCTTTTTCCTCTCCTCGCGGTTGATTGCCCTTGCCGCACCACTCCCGCGCGCCCTGGCCCAGAAACGCGAGTCTGGCTTTCGCCTAAAACGTGCCTGGCGTGGGGACTGGAAGTCTTGCAGAATATGGCGCTGAGCACATGCTTCAGAGAGCGACCCAGGGCGGCCAGGCCCCGGGTGAGCAAGGCCCGGCAGAGGGAGTCCAGGTCGCCGCGTCTCCCGAGGTTATCCATCCGCCTGCGGCGGCCTCGGAGCAGCAGCATGAAGACAGGGGCGCGCGCGGCTCCCGCCAGAGAGGAAGAAGCCTTTAGGGGCTCGTCCAGGAGTGGCTGGGAGTTGAACCCGCGACATACACCCCTAGAAGGGCCCGCACGGATTGAGGCGGCGACGGATCCGGGCCAGCTTGCTGCCAATTTGGCCTCTACTCTGGAATGCCGGTGGGGACAGGAGGTGCGGGCAGGCGCTCCTAGCTCTGGTTGCAGCCACACACGCAGGCAGTGCCATTTCCCCCTTCAGGCAACTCAGGGTACTAAGGATCAGGAGCGAGCTTGAATTTATGTAATAATGCCTCCCGCCCAAGAGCTCAAATCACTTAAGCAGAAAACCTGGGTTTTCTCCTGTTTGGGGGAATGGAGGTCACTCTAGTGAACGCATCACTACAATTGGGCTCATAATTTCAGCCTCCCCTAAAATAGCAAAGGCGCAAATTGGACCTTTTCTCTCTCTCCTTGCCAGTTTCCATTCTCCAACAGAAACGGGGGCATTTTGTGAAAAGGTACGTCAGCATGAAGGAAAAAGCATGACCAAAAAAAAAAAAAAAAAGTTTCAGAATGAGAATTTGAGCTTTTTTAGAGCAGGGGCTAGTCCTTACTTCCCTATGCTTTCTCAATCCCCAGCATCAAGCCCCGTATCTACAGGAAGGCTTCACTCATAAGATTCGTTAAAAGAAAGGCACATGATTAAATACTACATGGAGGGGAGTGGTGATGGCATCTAATCCAAGGTGGTGTGACAAATGAGGAAGCAGGCCCAGAGAGGGAAAGTAATGTGCCCCAGGTCACACAGCAGAGCCTGAGGGTTTGAACCCAGGAAGCCATCCATTTCCTAACACCACCTCTTTTAATAAACAGGTGCAGAGCACCCTCAAGCCAAGTGTTCAGAAAGGCTCTATTCAGCTGCAGGACCAGCACTGTAAGGATTGGCAAGGAAAGAAGGAATGTCCCTTTAGGACAAGGTCCCAGGACTCAGGACTCTGACTATTCCCATCTGATTGATCAGGTATTGGGAACTGGTATTTCTGTGAATGATTGTCCACCGGTGTCCAGTCCCACCTCTGCAGAAATAATCTTGGGCTGGCAGTGGTGTCTCTTCAGAACAGTGTTGTGGGGGAGGTGGGGGCCTGTGAGCTGAGTCGTGGGGGTGGCAGTTAGTCCCTGCAGAGACAGGCGTTCCCAAGATCTCCCTCAGAACATTTGATCCCTTGCTGAGCTCTGTTCATCCCTTGTCTATTCTATCTGTGCAGTAAGGCAGCGAGCACTGGTCTCCAGACCTGAGATTCTGTCAGTTGCTTGCTGGGCAGCCTTGGGATTATGACTTGCCCCTCCTGAGCCTCACTTTCCTCTGCTGTAAAATAGGACTAATTCCTTTCTGACCATCTCGGTCACTGTCAGGATGGCCTTTGATGTTGATGTTTAGTCTATACATGTGACTCTTTGCGACCCCATGGGCTGTAGCCCGCCAGACTCTTCTGTCCAGGGGATTTTTCCAGGCAAGAATACTGGAGTGGGTTGCCATTTCCTCCTCCAGGGGATCTTCCCGACCCAGAGTTTGAATCCCAGTCTCTTACATCTCCTGCACTGCAGGTGGATTCTTTACCACTGAGCCACCAGGACTTCCCAGGGATGGGTTTGGGCAATTCCAAATATGAGGCAGTGTTTACCTCCTGCTCTAAGCTCAGATGTGCCCACTGAGTCGTGGGCCAGTGAAAGTAGGGGCCCTTCTCAGGCAATTTCACAGCTGTGCCCCCCGCCCTTATCTCCTCCCCAGATGTCCCCAGTCCTGGTTGGACTTCCATGTGGCCCCCAAGCTACTGGGGACAGCAGGGGTCCCTTCGTCTGGCAGCAAGCATGACGGATTCTTGAGAATCCTGCATTTCAAGCATTTTACCTGTCTGGGGATCCTGGGGAGGGGTGGGGGGGGGGGTGGTGATCAGCTGATGGATGAGGCGTCAGACTAAGGAGTCAGATGCAGCAGCAACTTTCAAGGCAGACCTCTTGACCCCCCAGAGAGCTCCCCAGATGCCCCTGGGCCCTTGGGACACATCTGAAAGGGCAGCTGAGGGGAGAGCCAGGCGAGCCATGAGGATCGCTGAGGGGCACAACCTGCCAGTTGTCTCTACCTGCTCCCAGACCACCAATTCGACCCCTTTGGTGTCTTCAGTAGGTGGCTCTCTTCATGGTGCCACATGAGGACCACCTCCCACCCACCAATACATTTAGTGGGTCCCCAGGGAAACACTTCTGGAACACAGTGGGTCACACATTCATGCCCCCAGTGACACTTAAGAACTCTGGAGTTCCTGCTCTAAGAGAGATCAGTGGGACTGGAACATGGGAAGGTGCCTTGGATGGGGTTGGGGGACTGGTAACCAGTACTGGAAACAGTCAGGATTTACTCATTTAGGTCATAAAGAGGAACACATGCACACAGTCAATCTCTTTCTCAGAGGAAGGGGCAGTCAGGTTGGTAGTTTTCCTCTTCACAAAGAAGGAACAGGATGAGGCTGTGAAGTCCAGCTTCTGAGATCGGATGTGTGCGCTCATTCACTTAGTCGTGTCACTCTGCGACCCCACGGACTGTAGCACACCAGGCTCCTCCATCCATGGGATTCTCCAGGCAAGAATACTGGAGGGGGTTGCCATTTCCTCCTCCAGGGGATCTTCCTGACCCAGGGGTCAAACTCACATCCCCCGAGTGTCCCGCATTGGCAGGCAGATTCTTTACCACTGAGCCACCTGAGTATATTCTAGTGTGACTATATACACCAGCTCACTGGAGGGTATTTGCATTTCTAAGACTTTCCTCTACCCTTATCCTATAAGAAAAATAAAGAAATGACTCTCTCGTGGTGGATTTCACATATCCAGGTTCCCAAAGTGGGAAGAAACTGTCTGCGGGGCAGTAGGGGAATTCACAAGTCTCAGAGGACTGTTCCTGGAGTGAAGAGGCTCCCTGCTAAGAAGACGGAATTCTTCCCGTGTGTGTCCCGAGAGCCACATTCTCCTGAGGCCATGCCTGGGCCTTCGTAAGACGTTCCGAAACCTCTTGCAATGCTGGGCTGGGCCCATCTTCCAGGAACTGGTTCCCCTCAGGAACTGAATAACAAAGATCCTGATACTCCAGAAGGGCTTCCCACATGGTGCTAGTGGTAAAGAATCCACCTGAAATGCAGGAGACATAAGACATGCAGATTCGATCCCTGGGTCAGGAATGGCAACCGACTCCAGTATTCTTGCCTGGAGAATCCCATGGACAGAGGAGCCTGGTAGGCTACAGTCCACGGGGTCGCAAAGAGACACAACTGAACTGACTTAGCACGCATGCTCATATTCTGAAATCAGCCTTCTTTTGGAAATTGGGGTAAGGGACAGGCCTGTGGTTTTGCATCTTCTTGCCTGAGTGGTCGTCTGTGTATATATTTGGGATTCAGGACTTGGAACATGAGGAGGACTCTGCAGCCTGAGCAGGGCCTCTGGTTGTCTCCACAGTATGCCATTCTTTTCCTTGTTTATCCAGATCCTTGTCCTCCCGTGGTTTCCACAAAACGTTGCAGATTCTGGGAGCATAAAGGTCAGGCTGGCTTGCATACTAAGCAGTGTGCTCTCAAATATGCATTTGGTTGCTGGTGTCTGAGAGGAGAGCAGGAGGTGGTTGAGAGAGCCCTGGCCTAGGAGTCCAGAGACTTGGGTAACTGAGAACAGGACCCTGTTTGACCATGAGGAAGACACCTGTTCGCTCTTGGGCTCAGTTGCCCTATTCATAAGAAATCAGAGTCTGGGATGGGGAATGCATGTAACTCCATGGCTGATTCATGTCAATGTATGACAAAACCCACCACAATACTGTAAAGTAATGAGCCTCCAACTAATAAAAATAAATGAAAAAAAAAAAAGAAAAAGTCAGCAGCTGGACTTGTCCTGAGCCTATGTGACAGGGGTAACAGCAGGGTCCCTTGTTAAAATTGAAACAGAAACAGTGGAAACTTAATGTCAAAGAAAGTGCTGGCAAATAACTGAAGTCAATAGATTTATTTTTAAAAGTGCTGGCATTCTTTATAGAGTATAGAACACTAAGAAAATATGCTTTCCCCTTATCACGAGCATTTGCCTCAAAGCTGGACAAAGCATTTGTCCAGCTGTTGCTAACTAAAAACAAACAAACAAAAAACAAACAAAAAAAAAAACCTCACACTCTCAATTATAGGTGATTTTTGTCACCAAGATTGAAGACATGCAAACTACTGTCACTTCGTTGCTGTCTTTCTGCATCTCTCCAAACTGAATGAACAGCACTGCTTCATGAAAGCACCGCTCTGAAATTTGAGCTTTAATATTCTAAACAAGTTAGGTATGTTATAGACAGCACTCTCAATGGTTGTCTATTTTTATCCCATGAAGCACTGAATTTATTTGTTTAGCCTTTAAAAAAACACATGGGGTTGAAGGAATTAAAAGAGGAGGAGGATGTAGGGGTAATGTGTGTGCTGAATGAACGCGTGCTGCAAAGGCAAGAGAAAGAAGCACTGGACCAGGGTTCATGGTCAACTCTGAACATCAGACCCATGGCCACCCTTCTCCTGATGAGACCTGCCCACTGTTTCCCTGACAGTGACACCCCCATTTCTCACCGACAGCCTTTGGAGGTGTCTGTTCAGGCAGGGCTTTGAAAGCCATGGCGAGCCAAGGCCTGGCAACCACCAGGGGCAGCAGGTCATACTCCACTCCTGATACAGTCATGTCGCTTATTTGGGGCTCAGTCTCCACTCATAAAATAGCCTGACCAGGTACCTTCTAAAAGCTGGCTTAGGGATAGAATAAAGAGGAAGCCAATCTCAAATGAGTTTATTTTAAAAAGGAGAGGGCACAGGTTTGAAGAGCACCTTCCCTGGGGTTTCATCAGCACTCTGAGCTGTCTCAGAGCCTCAGTTTTCCCATCCATGAAAATGGGGCTCTAACAACCTCACTCGGTTGTAATATGAGTTCAC